TAAAATGACAGGGATATGTACAGCACTCAGCAAAAAGGTTCTCTGTTTTTTACATCATTTCGCCAGATTAGCTGAATTTGGCAGTTGTTAACAGCAGACTATATCGTTGAATATGAAATTTTATTGGCTTATTTTGATTGACTGCCACATTTATTATTAAGAGTATTTACAGAAATTGTACTTCTTCTAGTTCCAGATATGAGCTATTAGTAGTTCCACTTGTATACTTTGTACCATTTTGTTCTGTTTCGTACGTGTCGAATCATTCTTATATATTAAATTTTAAAATACAAAATGGGGATTAAACGTTTGTAGAATGTGGGTGTTGAAATTTCTGCATTGTTTCTGTCGGAAATGTCAGAGTAGTTGCATTCGTTGTTGTATAAATACAATTTTTCAATAAAAAAAACCTTGAGCTACGAAAAATGATCAATTTTGGTCTTATATATATAAATATGTGGAACGACTGTTTAATCAGCGATCCTTTCTGAAAGCTTTTAAATATTAATCTTTCTCTAAAAACAAGACCAATATACTGGGTCTGTACCAGCATGCAGTTGAAATTTTCTTTGTTCAATGAGTGTTGTAAAATTTCAAACTATCGACAAACAGGAAGTGACTGCATGGCAGATGTAAAAATTGCTAACAGGCTACAACTCAACATAATCAAGCTCCAGATAAAAAATAAATTATTCGCTTCCATAGAAGCCAAGTACAACTTGACGAAAATTTTCCGTGTACAATGAGTGTTACACATATGATTTCAAACTATTATCAGACAGGAAGTGTCTGCACAGAAGATGTAAAAATTTCAGTGTACAACAATAAATGTTGTAAAATTTCTAACCATGGGCAAACAGGGTGTAGCTGCAGGGCAGATCTATTGATTATACGCTTCAACTACAAATTATCAAAATAAACCAAATATTCATAAATGAATGACAGACAGAGTCGACCGGCTTCTTGACTTGCTTTCGTCGTTTTCAACGCAGGTTATGAAACACATACAGATAGCCATGTTCTACAAAGTCTGAACATTTTCAACAGAACTTGTTTCATAATTTTCCCATTTAGCTGCAATCTGATCATAACTTATATAAGAAATTAAAAAAAACTGTATCCGGAAAGCATTTGTTTCGAACTCGTGTACAGACGGACAGAAGGACGAACGACCGACATACAATGTTTCAACAGTTTGTGTTGTTCAAGGAGCATACTATAATGGATACAAGATACTTTTTTTTTTATAAAAACTGCATCTTCCATAAACGTACAAAATAAATTAACAATAAAAGTCCTCTCAACGTAATCAACTTTGTGATCAGTCAACTATTCAAACGTCAGATGCATTAAAAACCTGGTGCATTGACTTTTTTAATACAAGAACATACACAAGTGATATATGATATTCAAAATAATAAAAAGTGCAAACGAAAGTGACATTTACATGCATACATGCAGGTATATTCATAAGAAAAACGAACATGAATATAGGACTGATCTTTTATATAAAAAAATCAATGCTTTCCATCTTCGGTTTTCTTGTAGTGTATTGTGAACTGCTGTTTGTTTGTCTGTCTTTTAAATACCCCTTGATATCTTATCTCCCTTTTTATTTAGATCACATCATAACTTAAAAACGACATGTCCAAAATGAATATTTGCATATAACAATACACATATTCATGGTCTAACTGCATCGTTTCGAACAGCACCCCATACTTCATTTGATATGTCTTGTGCATTGCATAAACGTCTTTAAAATATCCAATCACTTTATAATCTTTCTTCTCCAACTCTATTATTCATTACATACACAATTTGTTTTTGTATTTCATACATGAATTTTCCTTCTTTCTTTCTTGAGTACCTAAGGCAAACAACAACATTGTGTTGGCTGCTTTGTCAGCTGATACAATCATGAAACGCTTTCCAAAATCATTTGATTTGTTAGTATATTTTCCGTCGTGATATTGTCTAATAAACCTATTTAGTATACAATTACTTTTGAAATGGTTCCTCAACCAGATTCGTGCATTTTATTTCAAGAAAGCATCCACTGAATTTGATCAGTTTTCTCTCTATTGTGACATCATTAATTTCATTGATGTCGACAGGCGAAATTTACAAAATAATATAAACTATAAGCTATCATCTCAATTACTTCCCTTTCAAGTCTTTATAGTGCGGTGACCTATTATTTTATTAATATTTTTTTTTAGTTAACGATATAAACTACATTTTGGCATATATGAAGTATTTTGCCATATTTTGTTCATAATCCTTAACTACCTCTATGTCTTGGTATAGGTTCATCCAGATGAGGGTGGTACAAAACAGTCTGGGCTAAGTCTTATTCATCCTGGTAATTTTAAGTGCAATCTCTAACGGCCGTGAATAGTTGAGATATATCATATCTAATTCACTATACTCATTTAATCTCATTTAACTGTTCTTATCGACCTCTTCATACAAAGTCTTCGGGTTTAAATTTTTTAAAGTTAAAGTCTGTTTTTAATTGGTATTGTCAACTTAAAACAAATTTCTTTAAAACATTCTCATTTCATTTTTACTATTCCATACAAAAAAATCGATATATTTATACAGTGTTTACACATTCTTTTTATATCTTCTTTCAATATATATTTGTAATATTACCTAGGAATACAGTCGATTAAATGCAATCTAAAACGATGTCTGATCTGCTAAGCGATAAAAAAATGTTATTTATGACACATAATAAACAGATTCATCAAGAAGGGTCTAAACATTATATATCATAATCTAACGAATCTAAACTACTTTTGTTCGTATTTGTTGAGAGAAAGCTAGATCTCATACTTTTCGTACCATTGACATTTAACCAGTTCTTGTACGCCATTGGGAAATACCTCTGTGATGGTGGTAAATTAAGTCTGTCACAAGCTTTTGAAATTTCTGTTACCTTCATTTTTCGTTCATTAGCACTCCTCATTCGCAGTCTGATATAACTTGCTACCGTTGGCTGACTTAATCTCTCAACACTACAATTTTGAGATTCATATGAAGATGGTTCTGGGTGTAGAGGTTTGACCTCCGATTCTGTTTCCTGTATGGGAGTTCTCATCCGAGGTGTGTATAACCGTTTAGATATTTCTGTAGCTTTACTTCCCGACACAGTTCTGAATGCAGGTGCTTTCGGAATGTACGCTTTGTATTCCGGTACATATTCGTAGGTAATGAAATTAGAATTCGTTTTTACATCCACATAAACAGGCTTTCTGGCACTTTTTCGCTGATTGTCTACTTTCCGTTTCATTGTCCTGTTCTCTAAAGAAATGTTTGTGCTGTATATATTCCTAATGTTGTGTTTCTGAACAGATTGAAACCCTGTACTAAAAGCCATTACTATCCAACGCAAAAATGTCACAAGTTACAATAAAATGTATATGTAGTATTGTGCAAACATTGATAAATGTGAATCTATTGGCTTGATTTTTAAAATATACACTATTCACTTGTGCGAATAAACTTCCTTATTAAGTGAGTTGCTAAAGGTGAAAAAATGAGAAGATTGCATCAATATCTTCAATTATCAATCACTAAGGAAAACGTCAAATGCGTTAAGGGTCCTACAATTCATGTGTCTATAGCAAAAACAAACAAAAGATAAAGTTTGATAAATAGAAATACAAACATACTTATTAAAGGTACTATAGCATTCTGTATACCAATAAAGGAAAGTTTAAATATTTTTATCAATCATACTTAAAGAAAGCAAACGTGTCAGGCTATTTAAGTTAAATGCAAAATTAGAGAGAAATGACATTCAACAAATCGTTTGTGGTGTATCACGATTTATATTGTCATAAGTAATTGACATTTGTCTGGTAAACCAGTGTGTGCGCAGATTGTAAAACAGTTTATTTATTACAAGTGTTAAAACCCTTGCAGGTAGTAGATAACTTAAAATGAACATATAATAGCTGAACACATGAACAGAAAAGGGTAAAGATACCAAAGGGCAATTAAAAACTATAGGTTAAAGAAAAACAGACAATATAAACGTCGAAAAGAAAATCAAGTACACGAAACAATACACAGAAAACAAAAGAGTGAGCACCACTAACCAAACCAAAACCAGAGTTAACTAGATATTCCAGAATGGTAAGCAGTTCTTCCTCCACTGAAATAGTTCCTTAAACCAATGAAACACCAACTCAAATTCTAAAAGCGATGATGTAAGCATGTAAAACATAAAAACAAGTTTCTTTACCAATGTATCCTTTCTTTTCGTACCATAAGAAACAATCACATTTCTACCTGAACGTGGATGTTAAGCAAACCACAATTAATTAATATTTTTAATATCTGTTTTATTAGTAGGAATTGGCATGTTAAGTGATTATATCAAAAGGTGAAGAAAAGAGCAAGTTTGTCTATCAAATCAACACGAATAATAAATACTCTATGTTAGCAGCTACTTTAAATTTAATGAGTTAACAATCAATGATTTATTTACTTAATGTACAAAAATTGAGTTCTCAAATATGAAAAAATCGCATACTTCTTTTGCTGTACATGTTAGCAGCTACTTTAAATTTAATGAGTTAACAATCAATGATTTATTTACTTAATGTACAAAAATTGAGTTCTCAAATATGAAAAAATCGCATACTTCTTTTGCTGTACATTTCTGCAGAAAGTACTTGTAGTTGTCAAATTGACAACATTTGTGTTATTTTCTTATATTGAAACTTTGCAATAATATCAGGGGGTCCACAGAAGGGAAACGAATTTACATCCTATGTAAACATTAGACGATTTTGTTTATCAAAACACAGTTATATATAAATATACATATAAAATGGTTGTATCTTCTAAATTTGTTAAATTGTTGTAGAATTAGCACGACGTCTTGACTCTGGTAATACTTTTGTGAATACAGGTATGCTTGTGAGATATTCTTATGGTACTTGTGGAAAGTTGCACATTTTATAAAAATATCACACCACAAGTCATGTGTTCAATAATACATTTAGTATAATTTATTAAAAATAAATACAAAACCATTAACAAGTAACATGGTAAAAGTTAAAATCACTCTTTAAACCTGAAATATATAAAGATAAATAATACATTTAAATCGCACAAGGTAAAATAAGAAAATACATTGAATATACCTATTTTGTCGATAATTCATTTACAAGGCCATCGCTGTCTAGTGTCAATTTAAAGGAAAAGCTTCATAACCATTGATGTTAACTAGTTTTAATAAATAAATGTAAATTTGTTGTATTTTCCAACTAGACAGCAACCAAACAACACATAAACAAGAAAAGACACCTATAAACCAACATGCATTTTTCGTTGAATGTCTCCCTGTAATGTGTATAGCGTTGCTGTATGAACTCTTGTATGAATAAATAATAAATAAATTTTATTTTATTATTGTGTGTCCTAAGCCGTATATAGCAGAAATTTTAGAAATGTTTGGTGTTTAATGCTCTTCAACTTCGTAAATGGACTTGGCCTTTAAACTGTTATGGTTAGAGCGCCACAAATGAGTCTTAGGCAGACGAAACGCGAGCCTGGAGTACCAAATTATAGGCCTGGTATCTTCGAAGAGTTTGTATGTGCAGTATAGGGACTGATTTCAGAGGATAGTACGGTATGATTTAAAATCATCAGGTAAACTTTGTTGAGTTTACGTTCAGTAATTACGAGCATTATTTAGTACGGTATATAAACATAGATAATATATTTTCGTGTACTTATTATCATACCGTTATTTAAGAGTTAAGTGATTTTCTGTATATTACTTTTTTTTATTGTTTTCTTTTCTTTTATTGAAATTTTTTTTACTCCACAAAACGCGATTAGCAAGGTGAACGAGATCTAAAAAAAATAGGTTTAACCTAGTACTAGTAATCAAGATCTAAGTTGGAGGGTTGCTGCTTAAATGGAAGCTACTGGTCCAAGAGTTCCAAGTGGTAAATTTGAATTCACCCCTTTGAAAATTTTACGTACACCATCACGAGATGGTAGACTGTTATGGAATATGTGTTTCAAAGATGACGACGGATATGTTCCAATTGTCGTAACCACAATTCCGTCCTCTTTTCCTCGAATGTGACCTGGCGAATAAGACGTATTACCGGATTTGTACTTACATGAGCAACACGAAGGGTGCTACATGTGAAGCGAAATTTGCTTACCCTTCCAGGGCACTTGAGATCACCCCTTGTTTTGTTTAAAAGCGGTTCGTGTTGTCCTTGCTTAAGTTTTTAATGGTGTTCTTTGTTCTTTTTATTTTTTGAATGTCTGTCATTTTTATAACGGTAACAATCTCGTCTATCCTTTGTCATGGAAAATTTGCTTCAATTTCAAAATTGCATATTCGGTCAAGTTCCAAGGTTAGAAAATTTACATGAATTTTGTGATGTCTTAGTGTTAGATAAGAGAGAATTTCCAATCGCTATTGCTTGATGCCTTGCTAACCACTTGATTTAACTTATCAACATATTGTATAGGAGTAACACGACGGGTGTCGCATGTGGGACAGGATCTGCTTACCTTCCAGAGAACATGAGATCACCCCCGGATTTTGGTGGGGTTCGTGTTGCTCAGTCTTTAGTTTTCTATGTTATGTTTTGTGTACTGATGTTTGTCTTTTCATCTTTTTTTCGTTTTTTCGTCATGGCATTGTCCGTTTGTTTTCGACTTATGAGTTTGAATATCCCTTTGGTATCTTTCGCCTTTCTTGTAATTTGACGCCTCGGTGGCCTCGTGGAAATGTGCTTGCCTTGAGTTCAGACGCTCGTGAGTTGCAGTGGTGTCAAACCAAATATTCTAAAATAGGTATTTGCTGTTTCTACACTAATCATAAATCATTTTAAGTTCGGGCAAACTCTTCACTTTCACACACACGAAGACACATAGTCACACTTACTATTTATTTGTAGGTCGACCGTCATCGTCACAAGTCACAGAATCTGCCCAGTCACAAGTTATTTTCTTTGGATTAAATCTTAATTCACTTGGGCATCTATAATGGAATGTTCTTCCCATATGACATACAAAATATTTATTACAGTTATTTGGGTCTTGAAAATATCCAAACGGTTTTCGTCTACATGAGAATGAGTCTGAAAGAATAAAATCAGATCAAATTATTGAAAAACTTAAAAATACAGCAATTGTTTTAATGAGGCATTAATATTCATTTGTTCAACCAAAATGCATGCAGTATCACCTCGTCGTTTGACAACACTGCGAGGATGTATTTATCCTTTCGTTTTAAAACACTTGATATCTTTAAATGTCATTACCAGCAAGATATGCTTAAAAGTAATGTTACAATTGCATAAATATACAGTAAATTTTAACACATGTGCAAAACAGAGACAAGTGCAATGATATTACTTGGATTTAACTAAGCCCCGTTTTCAAAATAATTAATCTACCAAACAGTTGACTGGGGTGTCGAAATGTGGTCATCACTGATTTCTCCCGTCCGGCAGTAAAGCCCTAGCTAAAAAGGGGCGTCCGTTAAGCTGTGCGTTATGTATAAATACGCGGCCACGTCCGGTTGAAATGGGGACGTTAAATCCGATGCCTCGTGAAGTGTGATTGTCACGCTCTCTGCACGTTAAAGAATCCTTGCAACAACTCTCTGCGGGGTATGTATGTGGCCTGTTGCAAGACATAATTTTATACCAAATCCAGCATACCCTCGTTTTCCAGCGATAGTCCGTAGAACCTACCATTTGTAATAATTGTTAATTTTGTTCATGTTCAGAATATGCATGAAATATTGGCAATGGACATAAAACAAACAACAATCAATCAATCATTAAGAATGACAACCTCCTGTTTTGCTAATTTAGTTTAGAACATAAAATACTTCCACACTGACTGGTGAATTGAAATTTTGAGCAAGATACAGTTGCCTTTATACTGCTATATTATAAACTTATTTGATTAAAATGGTGTATGAAAATTAAAAATTAGTACAAGTTTTTAGTACTCAGGCTATTATCTGAATAATCGATATCTTATAGATGACCATCATGTCACATTCAAATTCAAATTCTTTATAACCTTGAACTTAATAGTTCATCGGTGTCAAAATAAAATTTCAAATTAAACAAGTAAACAGACAGAGAACGTTCATGTTATAATGTTGTCTCTGATTTCAAATGCAGTAAAATGTATTTTCTTAAATTATTTAACTGTTTGATGTTTTTTATACTTAAACGTTCAATAAGTTTCGTTACTGGCGTCAAATTTTAATAGAAAGGTTAACAGCTTAATCCCATCGCGTGCTCCCTGGTCTGTTTCTTCGTTATTTATCGGTTGCACATACAGAAAATATTTATTTTTAATGGAACTGGAATTATTTTGTATTACACATTTTGTTAGTCTTAGTAATAAAATTATGTTATTGTACTAAAAGAAGGTTGCCTCAGGAAAAACATTTTATTTAAATACAATATTTAAATTGCGAAATACGATGAAGGTAGCAACGTTAGAGAGTTATATATTATAGCTGATAAAAACTTACATGTTGGTTAAAGGCGGCATAACTCAATATATTTATGAGATGAAAAACTGATAGCTTACAGAAATTAATTTAGAAATTCGAAAAAAAAATGAATGGTGTTATTTGGAATATACCGTCATACGAACGAGATCTATATTTATTTCTTTCAAGAAAAGCCTTCGCATTTGAATTCGTTTACTTTTAACATGAACAATAGATTTTACAACTCTGATATACAATGAATATACAGCTGTTTGTATTAAGTTAATGAATACTTAAAAAAAAATAATGTCGAAATGCAATGTTATTTCAGCGGAAACAAAACCCCTCAAAATGCATTTAACCCCAATTTAGGAAACACAAATTATATCGTGACATATTCAACAATTCCATCCAATTTTTCAAGTGATTAAATGACAATTTTACACCAGAAATGATGAATATTTTTGGCTTTAATTCAACACATACTTCAAAGCTGCATCACTAAAGCTATTTTATTAAATGTTCAATCACACGCAGCTGGCATTTTGTTAAATATGAAAATTTCACGTTGTATGCATACTCTTTTCCATTTAATGTTTACTTCTTACTTTTTCTATATTTCAATTAGCCAAATGACTGCTTTTGTTGAATAAAACAACAAATATCCTCTAAAAAATGAAAATAACTATTTATAAATTCCATGCGTCCTAAGCGCTTTTCTGGATTTACCTTCACCAGGAACGCTCAAAGCCGAATATTTGAAAGCGAAGGATGTATAAAAACCGAAACAGTTAAATAGCTATATGACGGAAAATAAACCAAATAATATCCAAATAGCTCTTAACTGACACAAAAGTTACATATAATATTCTTTGATATGTGATAAAACTCTTATGTAGAGTTCTATGCATGTATTTAGACTAAATTTGATAATACAGCATCAGAAACTTGTAAGACGTGTTCATTGCAATACCTTATTACTGTAAAAGACATATACCCCTTTCCAAAACTTAAATCACTATCTAATTACAAAAAAAAAATCAACCGATACAAAAATGCTAGTTTTTTAATGTGATGACAAATCCTTTCAAGATGGATCTGTTTTCCTTGTTAAATCAACACCAATAGAATAACACCAATACTTACATTTTCCGTAAACCAGTTCGTTTGGTGCCCAGATTGGAGGAGGTGCTATTTTAGTGGGTGGGGTTTCGTAATGCAAATCAGCTGTCCACAGCTTTGTAGTAGCTTCTGGTATTGGAGACAATGTTGTCGGAGTTTTCATTGTTGTTGTTGTTGTTGCTGTTGTTGTTGTAACTGTTGTTGGAGTTATATGACGATGCGTTGTTGGTTTTGGTAATATTTTTCTGGTCGTATTTGACGTCAAATTTAATACTTTATCCCTTTCTATCTTTTGTAAGGTCGATGATAATGTGTGCGTCAGAGGAAATGGCACAACTGATGATGAGCATTTTTTACCAAAGTCGTCCAGAGATAAAGACCAGACCATGCTTCCACCATATCCTTCCCTGGCTATCCATTCCGCCTACAATTACTCCATAGTTTTAATATAGCGAAATAACTTGGAAATGATCAGTTGAAATAATCTTACATCTCTTACGGATCTTGGATTCATTTACAGAACTTTAATAAAGTTAGAGATTTAATAAACAGAGTAAAAAACTATGGTATTTTAGCAAATAAAGATAGGAATAAACAGAGATTCAATGAGGCAGCAGCATCCAAATGGAACAAGTTCGCCAGATCTATAGAAATCTAATAAAATATCAGCATATCTCTATTTAGTTACCATCTTTTTTTTACAAAAAGGGGTTCTAGCCCCCACTCTTTATACATCGTATATTCATTTTACCTTGGTTCTAATACTGTCCTCGTCATCATAGCCAATCCACAGATCTCCTTTCACATAGTAAGGTACCATTTGTTCTTCATCTCTGTATATCTTACCTTTCCCGTCATTTTGTAACTGACATATCTAATTTAGTATAATACAATAGTAATGTGAGGTGTTATACTGCTTCGTTTGTGAAATGGAAAATATAAAATATCAAAAGTAAAAAAAATATATAACGTTGAGAAGGACTTTAAATTTAGACTGTACCAAACACATAACCTGAAACTTAACAGATTATCACATATTTGATTCATTGCTATGTGTTCGAGTGAGTTAATGACCAAGTTGATTCATTGCTATGTGTTCGAGTGAGCCAATGACCAAGTTGATTCATTGATATGTGTTTGAGTGAGCCGATGACCAAGTTGATTCATTGCTATGTGTTCGAGTGAGTCAATGACCAAGTTGATTCATTGCAATGTGTTCGAGTGAGTCAATGACCAAGTTGATTCATTGCTATGTGTTCGAGTGAGCCAATGACCAAGTTGATTCATTGTTATGTGTTCGAGTGAGTCAATGACCAAGTTGATTCATTGCTATGTGTTCGTGTGAGCCAATGACTAAGTTGATTCATTGCTATTTGTTCAAGTAAGCCAATGACCAAGTTGATTCATGCGTCCGCAGCATTTTCTGGATATACCTTCACCGGGAACGCTCAAACACAAACACACTAAAAGCTAATGATTTATAAATACTTAAATACTTGAGTAGTTATATGACCTAAAGGAGACATTAAAAGCATTGCAAAATTTATCTTAAAGTGAAAATATTAGGATTTTTTGGTGCTTCTTCTCCGAACATTTCATATATATTTGGCTTTGAAAACTTTTGATCTCGTCCGTACCTAATGGTTATTTCCGTAACACATGTTGTACGCACCATGGGGATCATATTGGTTTTTTCTGTCCTCAGTATGTATACATTACAAAAAGTTCACCTGCTTTATCTTAGACTTTCTTTAAAATAACTTACATTTTTATGAGGTTTTCCTTTACTTATTAGAAAAACATTTTATTTAGAGCTATGCATTTATGAAACATTATTTAATTATTTCGACTTTACTAGAGAAATCTTTGTCATGCAGTTGTCACACATTAAATGTGAAGTTGTGAAACAGTCTATAATCATTTGTACATTACATAGTTTTGAAGGTCTATTCATGTATAATACACAATATCATTTTTATTTTACTCCTAAGTTATTGACAAACACTACCTCATAATAGGAATAAAATCCTATTTCCTGCGTAAATGATCCCTTTGGACCAGGTCCAGTGACTGGTGCGCCAATGCCAAAATTATTAACGGGATCTGCCAGGACAAATGACCGACCGTACGTTGCTACTCCAATATTCAGTTTATGTTTAGGTGTGCCTTTAGAAACCCAGTACTTTGCTGCTTTCTCCTGAAAAAAAAAATTCAGTATTTCACAGATAAATGGTGATTATTATTACAAGTTCATTGTGCATACCTTGCATGAACTATTATATAATTAGTATCCAAAAATTACTTGATACCAATAAAATTCTGGAAACCGGCCAAAAAATAAATAAAATGTTCAGTCAAAAGTGGACAATTTTGAAACCTATAAATGAACGGGAAAATCTTAAACTTCTATAGTATATATAAATGTATGTAATTAATGTGTTTCTTGGTGTATGCTATTTTAATATTTTGATTGATTGACATCCAGTAATGCATATTTAGAGTTATAAGAACATTATATAATGTCATGTCATAATTGTTTTAGGTAATACACAATTACCAAAACTCGTTCAAATTAATTGCACATTACCAAATTATAAGTTTATTCAGTGCACCCATGTTTTACGTAATTGTCACGATGTTCTTGAAATTGTTATGTATAAACTGACTGAAACATGAAAAAAGTCTCAGACTCATGTTAATTAAATAATTCCTTGGTTTTTTTTTCTAAACTTAAATTCGATTCGACAAATTAAATGAATGCCTGAACAGTTTAATATGCTTCTTCAAAACAGATGCCACAGAATGTAATCATTTTTATTTGTAGAAAGGATAAAATCAGATTGGTGATAAAAAAAAAAGCAAACAAAAAAGACTTTAAGACAGATATTGCCGCTACACTAACATTTTTCATGATTAATAATTGTAGAATGTGGTACTGGTCCTACAACATACAATGATCCACCGAAATGGTTCTTATTATACATACGTTACAGCTACACCGTACGACTACGGGCCAATTCTGGCTGTTTTGTATGGAATGTTGTGTTCGTTTGTTTCTTCTGAAACACCTTTATGATTCCCCGGCAGTTTTAAATATAAGGAGTTGGCTCTATCCTTATTTTCCAACGATTTTTTGCAGTATTCCTTGTAATTGATTGTCTGCGAGTGAGTTTTTCGTAGACATTTTTGTTTTCCCTGTAATATGGTCAATTAACTACTCCACTAATTTCTGATAAAACAAGCCTGCTGTTTTTGTGTTTTTATTTCATAATATAATTAAGCAAAGACTTACAGTGTTCATGTTAGCAGAACCTGAATCCTTACTGCTACCAAACAATGGACTATTATGACCTGTTTTCCGTTCCCAACCTCCATGAAAATCGTATGACATTAAGTTGAGGAAGTCCAGATATCTGCATAAATGAACAATATGTATGTTATTTTTATGATTTTGTAAAATACATGTTGACATAATTAAACTAACGATACAGTTCATTTTACCATTTCCCTTTCCTAGACTGCACGATATCTAAGTTCATTTTACCATTTCATTCCAATAAATATTGGTACAAATGAATGTTTCGTCGACAAAGAAACAAGAAATTAGTAATGTTGTAAAAAAGTACAATTAAAGTTATTGATATAGACCAGAATTAACTGTTAATAACTGTTTCTGCTTTTGTCATTAACAAGCGTGTTTACTTCAATGTCATCTTTTTGTCGGCTATACTTTTGCTTGAGCGTTTCTGTTTATCCGTTAACCATCCCTCGATCAATTATTTGGTATTTTAAGATTTCTCACTAAAACATTGAATCCTCTTCAACATGGATAGGTCGAAAAATGTTAAAGAGAGGATGTATGGTGGATATACAAACCTAATACAATACAATCAAAAAGTTTATATGCCAAAGAGAAGTATTTGTATTGTTGTTCTTTATCTTTATAATTTTTTAAAAGTCTTTCATTCATAATAGATAGACTCGCCCATTCGGTTGAATTCGTTCTGTTTAGGAATGTTTACTAATATATTTGGCGCTCTGTATGAAGGTTCTTTTAAAATGCGCTTTGTATGCAGTATATATCGTATCCCACATCCACCACCTTTCTACCAGTAGGAACCGCCGCTGAAACTTGTTATTCACGACTGTGCGCTGTGTACACAGTATCTTTTTATTTATGATTTAGATATGTACTTAACTTACTTAGATAGTGTTGGTATATCGTATCCCGAATCTACCACCTTTCTACCAGTAGGAACCGCCGCTGAAACTAGTAGTCTACGACGTAAAGATTTCTGTGCCTCCATATCAAAAGCCTCTTTTATTTCCTACATATAAACAGAGCAAGCAATGAAAAGCTGTTCTTATTGTAAACAGGGTCTTTATGATACTAATATTATTTTTAGGGGACGATCAGTTGATTTTTCGGAGGGGGTTGAAAATGAATAAGTTGCCCGTATAAGAAATGAAAATAGGTAACTTTGCACAAAGCAGGATGAAAATGAATATTCTACAACACAAAATGAAGGAAACATTTGAACAAAAGTGAAAAAAATAAGAATGCATAGCATCAGATGAAAACAAAGAATCAATCCAGAAAAAAAAATCATCCTGCTCCCCCCCCCGAAAATCAAATGCTCGTCCCCTTATTATAATGAGACGAAAAGGTACAAATAAATAGATAAATGTGTTTTTAAACGAAGTTAAAACAAATCTCAAAGTTGAAGGTGGTAATGGGAAAAGCACAACACTTGTGGAAAGAAAAAGACTTGAATTACCTTAACAAGGAGAGCAAATTTAGGTTTATCCTCCATTTTTCCTTGTCTAAGAGTTGGATATTCCCAGTCGATATCTAATCCATCAAAGTTATGTTTACGTAAAAATTCCATCGTAGACAATATAAACGTCATTCGGTTTTCTGGTGTTGCCACCATATCAGAAAAAGCTTTACTGCCTGCATTCCATCCACCTATAGCTAACATTGTCTTAACTCCCCGTGTTTTATTCTTTTTTCCATTGAATTCTTTATACCTGAAAACTCAAATAAAAAACAGTCAATTGAATTATATAATGTATATCCACGATTTAATATAATTTTGAAGATATTGTTTTTATGTATCTAAAACCTTACTATAAGATCAAACTTCTTTGGGTGAATCTTCATAAAATATCTATCATTCATAGAAATGATTGGCTAATATGTTTATTAAAGGATGCATTTTCCGTTGAATAGCTGCAGAATACATGAAATGATAAATTTTGTTTGGTCTTGTATGGTCGGCCACTTAATAGTTTTGATCTTTTTTTTTACCATAACAATGTCAATTACAAATCGTACAACACAATGTTTACAATTACAATGACGTACATTTTTTCATCATTATACTCTGTAAAAACCAATTTCTTGCCTTCCAATCTGGCAAATGCATATACGATATGTGTACAGAGATCTGGGTTGATATTATCGGGTGTAAATTTGGCTTCATTATTACGATACTGTGCCCAGTTGGTGAAGTAGCATATTCTTCGAAATGTCTTTATTTCTGAAAAATAATCCAAAATATCAAAACTTGCTCAAAGTGTTCTTCTAATCAAACATAAAGCACGAAGATATTTATTTTTTTCAACTGTTAGTAGACATTTCTACCAAAATGTTACTGGTTGATCATAATATACAAATTAAATCTTTGTAAACCAAAATAATCCTCAAAATGCATCTTGTCCTTTTCCTAATTGTTGGTAAACTCTAAAATTAACGTAGTTATCTAACATATCTCCAGGGCATTAAATAAATTATTTTTGCAATATTCAACGTCAAAATAGGAAAATGAATACTGGTGGTGTCTATGCATTTTTATCCACCATAGATCACAAACATTGCTTGAATCTTAGAAATACCTTTAGATGACCCTTTTGACATTTTATTGCCCCCTTGGTAGCCAGCTTAGAAGTCAGTGTTTCGGTACTGGCATGTTTAATAACATACTTTTCTTAAATTTAAGAAATACAAACAGCATTAAGAAACTAAGGTTTCTACTCCCTCAGGAAAAGTTGATCTTACCGAGATGGATTTTGCTATTATTTTTAGGTCCCTATTGGTCATATAGCTCTTTACGTGTTTCGGAACTTATAAATCCTTGAATTTTAAATGTTTGGCTTTGTGCGTTTCTGATGAAGGCAAACCCAGAAAAACGCTTCTGACGCATACAATTTATATAGTGTTAATTCATTTTATGGCATATTCTTATTTTTAAATAACTAAAGCCCATGTCGTTAAGATTTTATATTTTCTTATTACCACACTGTTCATCCGTCCCATCTAAACAGTCTTGATCGCCATCACAAACAAAAGCATTGTTCACACAGACTCCATTACTACACTGAAAATTATCATCCGGGCATCCTCTGGTGTTATCATTTGTTCTTCCTAAAAAATACCAAAACCCATCATTCTGGTTTATATCTTCTAATTGAATCGCCGTCTTTATCGCACTAAATTTAGCCTCAATATTTATCTTATATCACGAAACTTATCAATGGAACTTAAAGAGGTTTAATTGTCGATCATTTTGTATTAACGAACATTTGTAGATTCCAGCCATTCAAAATGGTGGCCCAAGGCATGTCAATTATGACGGTAGACTTAAGCCAATGAAAAAGTTGTTACATCAAGATTAAAATTAAGAATTTAAGACCACCAACTATTTCATATAGGGTCGGCACGCATGGTCACCGATTTTCCTGAAATTTAGCCTGACAATATAATCAGATGCAAAAGTAAGAAAAATGCATTAGCAAAATATACAGTTTTGCATCCACCCCCATTTAAGTTGTGGTTATAATTATAAATTATTCATGTCTCTAGTCAATAACTTACAATAAAATGTTTGGGATTCCGGTCGCTAGGATGATTGCTATGGAAACCAAAATGTGTCATTTTTGTTTTTTGTCTTTAGAAATTCGACCATGTTATTAAGATAACCCGAAAACAGTGATTACTATTGAATGACTATGATGTGAAACTATGAAGGAATAAATAACCTTCAATTTGACCCAAGGTCAAAGGTCATTGATGACCTTGACCTTTGATCATGCATATATTAATTGGATTTTGTAAGAAAAGATAATAGAAAGACGCAAACAATACATGAGAAAAGTCCTTAGCAACCATTCATTTATAGTGGAAAAGGGCCTAGCAACCATTCATTTTATTGGAAAAGTGCCTAGTAACCACTTATTTATATTGGAAAAGTGCCTATATATTTTTCGAATACAATGAAAACTCCATTATTTTAATCAGTGATGCCACCTTCTCCACTAATTATAAGAATTGATTTTTATCATTTATCCAACCAATTAAATGCTATATTTTAATGAAAAAATGTTACAATATTCATCAAGATTGAAATGTGTGCATGATAACTGCTTGAAGTTGGTCATTTTTTTACGTCAAAATATGCAATTTTGAGCCATAGTCCAAGGAGACCCATAACCATGGCAACGGGGACATAAACATTTTATTTATCATTTTATCAACATATTTCTTATATGTTTATTGATAGCTACAAACAAACAAAATTTCAAGAAGATCTGAGACTATGTGTGCCGCAACTCGGTTGTTGGTTACATATAATTGCTATTAAGGTGGGACTTTTATATTATCAGATTACGAGCTTAAAGAGCTTTCTCTCAGTAACTGATATAATCTTAGTAACGGTATTTCAAGCTATACAATGTTCCGGTCCCATGTAAAGTGCCCAAATCAGGATGTTCGTTACTGATATCTTCTTGTTGATGATAGATCTATCTATAACACAACATGTCTATATGTACTTGGCAAATCCCAGTTCAAAGGTATCGCGCTTTTACTGCTGTTCTTCATCTCAAAGTCACCGTAAGGTTCAGCACGAACCAAACGCTTACATATCACTGCAAGTCCGCCTGAAGCACTCATTGAATTTCACAGGAAGCAAACAACGACATCTCAATGCAAGTTTGGACGGCGTAAAATCTATCAGATACACAGAGGATATGAAAATTGGTCCAAGTAAAAACTCGACAATTGTCAACTCTATTCAGCGAGTAACCTCAGTTTTAGTATAGAATTTGATATAGATGTGATATTAGACTTACGACAGGATTCTTCGTCTGAACTATCAGAGCAGTCTGGATCATTGTCACACACCCACTGTTTCGGTATACAAGTACCGGTCTTGCATCTGAACTGGGTTTCCAAACAGTCTTCAAATTCAGAAAACAAATCATTATAATATAATCACTGTCAGAAGATCATCTTAAATGGTTTTTGAATAACCCAGCAGTGACACAAACAAAATCATTACCATTCGCCCGCTATCATATCAGAATTATAACATACTATAGTATTTGAAGTGGGTTTCTAGACAAATAAGAAATAAAAAGTGAATAAGTTTTATTCTCTTTTTTGTATTTCAGTAGTTTAAGAATAAGTATTACGATAACATCGTCATCAGTCTTATATATACATGTGTGTGATTGAATAAATTTAAATGAGTCACCTTAAATGTTTATTGTATAAACTGCTGGTTTTGTTGTTGATGAAAATTAAAATTGATGAAAACTGTCATTAGTTTGAGTCTTTCTCGGTAAAAATCTCACGGAGTCTTCAATGTCCAATGTTTATTCGACAAAATGTGTTCATGTCCAAATAGAATTACGTATATGTTGAAGCTCAGCTTTAAATGATTACTTAGCATAAATGATAAATTAATGCCATCAATTTTGATTTGTGAAATATAAAATTCTATACATACCTTGCTGTGCTTTTAAATGTCCTATTTGAATAATTACAATGAATAAAACTTTAAGTCCCAATTCCTGAAAATAAATTAAAAGCATTGCGTAAATCTATGTTTTCTAGTATGGAAACTGTTTGCTTATGTCAAAATATATTATACCAAAGGTGACCTGTAGGAAATTTTATAATTATTTTTAATATCAAAAACAAGAATCTGAATGAAACTTTCTTTCAATCGACAGTATATATATATATCACTAGAAACATGTGTTATAAAAATGAGCATGTAAAAAAAATATTTTCAAACTGATATAAATAAGATATTATAACTTGAGTACCAAGAGATTTTCAAAAAAAAATCCAGTATCTTATCATGATTAATAAATGATTAAATAAAATTGATTCTTACCATCTCATTAAAATAAACTCAATTTTAAGCAAAGTTCATTCAATCCGAATTTGCATTTTTCCAACAATAAAGACAACAATATATAAAAATGTTACCAATTAGTGTTATTTCTTAAGTAGAAAAACATGTCGGCAATTTGGAATCATAAAAAACGATCCCATTTTGTTAACTGGTTTGTACATATGCCAATTTACTGAAAAACTGTGGCTTGATATAAATAATACAAATAGACTACACAACGTTACACATTATGCTACATCGGATTTCCTTGTCGCACACCACTTCAGTTCAATACACTTTGATAAACGACCGCTAATAGGCTATAAAAATGTCAAAAGTACATGTAAATTACATTTATAATAATTACCTATAATTACCAAAAAACGTGTGTTTGCATATTTTTGTTCAGAAATTTTACTCAACCATTATATTATTATGTGTGTCAATTGCATACATTAGATGTTTATATTTATTCGTCAACATAAAAACTAATTTTTCATGCAAATGAAAATAAAAAAAAATACATCCACAAGTAAGAAACATGTATCAATATTGTTTTTAATAAATGCTTTCATTCCATTGCAAGACACCAGAGTGGATTGATCCGAAGTAAAGACAACGAAAGTGAGGAATCATTAATTTCTAATAAAATAAATATATTTTGGAAGGACACAAGAACTGAATACGTCAAGTTTGATGAATTGCAAATTGTTTATTTAATAACGTTTATAGGAGTTTATATCTATTTGTATTTGAAAGTTATGTAAACGGCAAAAACTTTCAATATTTGATAAATTACATGAATTTGTAGTTTTGCTGACGTGTTAAAACATGAAGCAATTTAGGGAAATACAAAAAGTAAATTAATTTTTAAGGTAATGATTGCAAAACCATAATTTGAAAACAGACTCAAATGAACTTAATTATCTCGGTATGGATTGGAAACTTTACTAAATGTCTCTAAATTCAGACTCAACACTCAAGATGCTTTATAAACCTTAGACACAACGTGTAAAAAAGGATGATAACATGTTTTACAATTTAACGAGAAGTATTACAATTTACTTGTATGGATATATTTATACATATAAGAATGCAGCATCTAATACAGTTGTATTTCTGTTTGTTTAGAGTCACAAAAAATTTAAGAATATTGATATTTTATCTTCATTCAAACTGTTCACATAATCTGGAGGATATGTATTTTTTTCTAATAACCTTGACTTGATTATGGTTACAAACGAAGAAATACTTGACTGATTCAAATCCCCCTTTTACGATACCTGGCAATCTTGTTCGTTTCTATCAACATTTCAAAATTTGAACACCAAATAAATGTTTAAACTTTCTACACTGGCACAAAATATTCTCCAGCGGTTTTTTATTTTTTAAGAGTAAACATCAGAACGCGACGATGCGCATTTTTAAAAATATCAATGTTTTACATACTGATCATAGAACCTTTGTTTTACAATTGACTTCGATACTTGTTTTTGACATGTAATTGATCATTCAATATATAATACTACATTCATCAAAGATTGATTTTACGTAAGTTATCCATTTTAACGTTGTAATTATAACACTAACCTTTACACAATACTTTTGATCTTCTGATAGTTTATTTTAGTCACATATACATTTGTAAGAAGCTATTTCAAAACCATAACATGGTAAGAAAATGTTTTGCGGTCCTTGGTTTATTAGATTTTTATTTTACGTGTTCTATATACACTTTATAACTGCAGACGGAGGCGCTATGATAAGAGCACTTATTTTACCCCTAAAAGTGCAGAAGTAGTAATCCTATTCAAGCCTTTCAAATTTATGTTAATTTCATTGATAAATGAACAAGTAACTGTGACTTGACTGTAAGTGTTGCTCTCAACCTATTGCAACTTATTCAAAATTTTGACCAAATTGCAATTTGTTTTATAAAACCAAACTGTTCAACTGGTCAGAAATTTGATCAAACTGCTGTAGAAAACCACAGTCAAGTCGTGAAAGTGCAAGGTGATGAAATAAAGCATACTTACAATCCTTTAAGACTTTAATTCCACTTCAATGTTATAATGAAAAATCAGTCTTACAGTTTGTATAGAAATTTTATTGTTATTGTCATGCTAAAGGTGATGAGTAGTAATTTTGAATTGCCATAAAAATGTCCAAACTAAGATTTCATACAATTTTTCTTTCGAAAAGTCTTCTGTATTCATAAGAATCAGACATCATTTGAATTAAAACATTTTATATTCAGTAAAATATGTGTGAAATTACAATACGTGTTTAGTAAGTTTCCATGGGAGATAATCAATTTTTCTTTCGAAAAGTTTTCTACATTCAAAAGAATAATGTTTTAGGTTATTTCCCATGGAAACTTATTAACAACGTATTGTAATTTCACATATATTTTACTGAATGTAAGATGTTTTAATTCAAATGATGTCTGATTCTTATGAATATAGAAGACTTTTCGAAAGAAAAATTGTATGAAAGCTTAGTTTGGACATTTTTATGGCAATTCAAAATTACTACCCATGCATTTTATTTTTTATTTGAAGTATCTAATACATCTAGGGTAACTATCTTTGATGCAAACGCCGCAAAAGGAGAGATATTTAAGCAAATTGACAATTAAGACATTGACAATTCCATTCCTACATTCAAGTAGAAAAAGCTGTCACAATGTTTTATCTACGTAGAGACTATAAAAGCACAAGCAATACAAAAAAAAACTACATGCAATATGAGATACATAAAGTTCTTTCTTACTTTTGTTGACATTGCTATTGAATAAAATATAGATGTTTTCATTAATAAAACGAAACGTGATGATTGATAAATGTATAATTTTGGTAACAAGAGTTTAGCAAAAAATAAATGTAATACATTTTTACACGTTATTTATAAGCTTCCGATGGATTAATATTCTTGTATACAGTTTCACGTTTGAATTCTACTAAAACTTCGTCAGTGTAATACTATTACTTTTCATACACGCCTTCACATAGTATACTACGCTTGTAGAGTAAACTGTCAATCAAATCTAGTGAAATTTATGGACAGACAGAATGGGAGATTCACATATTTAACCCCCAAACACCCATATAACGAAAAATACACGTAATTAAAAATTAATATGTTACAGGTGGCATTTTTTACTCACAACACAGGCACCTTCTTCTTCTTTGGGTACGCTCGGAAGAAGACATATACCACCTTAGCTATTCTATCGTCTAATAAAAACAACATCGATGAGATTGTTTTATTTAATGAACTTAACTAAAAAGGCGATATTAGGCACACTTCAATGAGACAACAGCCCAACATCTCAAGCAAATCAAAAAATTTATCTACAGATGAACATATACGGTCGACAAAAATAGTATATCATATATAAGTTACAGTAATAGTCATCCATGTATATCATACTTAAATATCGACAATGTTTACCTTGAAGTTCGGATCATTTATTATTCACTTTTCATTTCATACATCAGGTTGTACGTCACGCGGAGACTAGACAAGGTGTGAAGGAATTTGACAAGGAAGTATTATATCGAAAATCTCACAAAATAAAATGCTTAATGGAGGGAAAATATGAAGATCAACAATTAACGACGATGTTCCTGAATTGGGACAAGCACATAACACACGGCGTGATAAAATAGTTTTCTGACTACTTGAAAACTTAGCGACTTAGAAAAGTCATAGAAAAACCAATTTTGTGTGATAGAAAGAAATCTAAACGATAGAATTTTAAGATAGAACTAGAACACACCCGCGACATCGCAGGTCCGTGACTGAATTAATGTACCTATGCCTTATTTTTATGCCTGGATTTCTAGTGTTCGTATTATCAACTGATAAAATCATGCTGAATGTAAGGTGCACAGTTTTCTCTGCTTTCAAAATTTTTCTGTTTGAAACCGTCCTGGTTGTCTTACTACAATCAACTTACTATAAACTAAATTTAATTTTTTAACTAATAAACAAAAATTAATTAATAGTGGTATTGACGTGGAAGAAAACAGACTTGTTAAATAGTATACTTTAGTGTAACATAGATATAAATCAACCACTGGAAGAATTCTAGGTTCTCCTGAAAGAGGAGGGATTTACAGAAGGTAACAGGTAACTACAACCGAAAACTACATGAGACATATACTATATTCACGGTAGGTATAGTGTCCGGCGTAGATCAGGTTTTTTTCGAGTGATATTACATGCGATCAGATCAATTTACTGCTATTTCGCGTTTATATAGTTTTATAGTTTTATTCATGACTGATAATCTTATTCTGAATACTATACATGTTTTGATCACAAACAACGCACAATTTCCTTGTAGTTCACTATCAATTCAGTGTTTTACATTGTCCGTGTTTTTTCGAGAGCAACATTTAAAACGTCCAGGTTTTAAAACAAATGGTCCGGGTTTTTCAAAGAAAAAGTGAATAAGAAAGAAGGCATTCTTGGGCTAAAAAACTAACTTTTTCTAGTTTGTAACTGTTATTTAGCGAAGGGCAATATTATACATTGCTAATAAGTAACAAAACATATTACTATGTTGATCAAATTTAACCCTTTTCAATTTAATGATAATTTTCTGTTCTGAAAACATTTTACCACAACCTTGCAGTATTAGAATATATCAGAGATTCTTTGTAAAACTGTCTTTAGAACCGAGAACAGGGGACTCATAATCTTTTCAATATCATTTTCATGCTACAATATTTTTTTTACAGTAAATAGTATGATTTATATACATTACGGTGGCGAAACCTGCAGTTTTCAAAATAGAGTTTGAGTTAAGCCATTTCAATTGCTATTTTATAGTGTGTCTTTCTATGTTGTGATGTCACACTATTATTTCAAGGTAGGGTGCGGGTTGGCACCTATTAGAACGTTTGAACCCGCTGCATTTGTTTGCACCTGTCCTAAGTCAGGAACCTGATGTTCAGTGGTTGTCATTGTTGATGTGGTTCATAAGTGTTTCTCGTTTCTCGTTTTTTATATAGATTAGACCGTTGGTTTTCCTGTTTGAATGGTTTTACACTAGTCATTTTTGGGGCCCTTTATAGCTTGCTGTTCGGTGTGAGCCAAGGCTCCGTGTTGAAGGCCGTACTTTGACCTATAATGGTTTACTTTT